TAAAAACCTTCCAAATGCCATAAAAACCTTCCAAACACCACAAAACACACCACAAGCCTCACCGAACGTCTCCTTGCTACTGCAAACTCGCCCACAGGAAGCCGCGACCGCGTGGCAGTAGGGAAAATGGCCGCGGATCCGGTTCGTAAGTAGAGGCGGAGTTCGCAAGGAGAGGTAAATTTTTGGGGCCGGAGCTGGTCATATCTTGAAAAATTCATAAGGAGGGGCATTCGTAACTAGAGGTACCACTGTATATATACAAGGTGTATCAAAAGTCAGGCCCCACAGGCCGATAAACAATCTAAAGGAGACCATCGCATTAGAATGAGCAAATATCAGAGAATATTTACTTAGGAACGTTCAAAGGTCAAGCGGCAAGCCAGTAAAGAACTGTTCAGAAAATAAGGCAAGCCATTTGAATATTTAATGTAATTTCTGTAATAAATTGTCTATGGGGCCTGACTTTGGGCACACCCTTTTTATAGCCCCAGAAGTAGCATCAGTCAAACTTTCCACTGCCAGAAGGAATAAGCTCACAGCTTTCCAATACTGGAGAGGTCCTTGAAATTCACCTGTGAGGAACATTTCACATTCAGAACATTCTGTACTTGATGTTCCAAGCTCGCAGGGAGTGTTTTGATGCTGACTTTGTCGGATGTGTTCCGAGCAATAAACAACCCCTTTTGCAAGCTTAGAACATTTCTTTTCTGCTAAGAAGTTCCAAGGAGGCTGAAACACTCCTTGTGGGGTTCAAGCAGTCCATTCTGAGCTTGCAATATTTCAGCCTTGAAACATTTTTCACAGCTTAGAAGCATTTGTTGCAAACCACCCACAGCAACCCTGAATGGGGAAAGGAAATATTAGAGGCCCTTCTTGAGGAAGTGGTAGGGGACAAATATGTGCTTTAAACACTGCAGAGAGTTTCACCTCTTAAAGATGAAAAATTAGACTCATACACAACATTGAGGGCTTAAATCTAGGGAAGGTTTAAGGGACTCATTTCATCTTTTAACATCCCCCTGATCCAACCAAGCAAACAGCAGGAGAGGAGGAGGAGAAGGAGGAGGAGATTTTCCCTAGTAATGTTAGGATATCCCTGCCCACATTCCTTGCAGCCTTTGGAGGTCAAACAAAGTAGCCTCAAGAAACCTGCCCACGCCTGTCCTACTGAATTGTGACAAAGCTAACATCAGCCACATCCTCCCAGCTCTGCAGCAACTGAGAGGCCACAACAACTTAGGTCCAAAGTAGAAACACAGGCCTGGCTGCTGCTGTGGTTGACTACTGCTGCCTTCAGCCCAGCCCAAGCTTCTCTCTGCAACCATTCAAATGTTCCCAGCTGATCTGAAAAAGAACCAAGTTTCACATTCTCAGGGGAAAGATAGGCCTCTTCGCCATCAACCACAACAGGAAGCTAAACCATCTTGCAGCTCCATCTTTTGGCCACCAGCTAAGAGCCCACAAACAATGGATCACCTCCAGAGTAATGCCGGTGATCACATCCAAGGGGTCTATGACATTTCCCAGTGACTTGCTCATCTTCCTGCCATGGGCATCTCGAATGACAGCATGAAGGTAAACCTGAAAAGGAAGCACAGAAAGCTGTTTAATTTTGAGGTGGACTGGAATTGGGCAATGCAGTTTGGCAACTAATCTGAGAGGTCTGATCCTTGATCTTTCAAGCATTAGCTCCAAACATGGGGGTAAGCATGAACATTTATGAACAGCAATTGCACGTGTTTCTGAGCTGTCTTACATGCATCAGGACAGCATAATTTCTTATGGCCTGAGACAGCCAGGTTTTGAAGGTTTGCTTTCATTTTGCACAAATTTCTTCTGAAATTAAAGAAGATATATGTAAATCTTCTCCCTTAAAAAAATAAATCAGTAAATCACAGCATATTAAATGATCTTCAGTTCCCCAGGCTCACAAGAAACTACCCTCACAGAGTTTTTCCTAGAGGCAAAAGAAATAATCCAATGTAGTATTTTTTGTTTGTTTGTTTACAGACCATTCATGAGTAGAGGTTGTCCATTAAATCTCAATTTACATCATTTGCATCAATTTACATCATCTGTGCAATTACTTGTTTGATGTAAATGGTGTTACTTTAATAAAACATTGATTTAACAGACAAACGTGCAAAGAACAAATTTGTCTGTTACATCCAAGGTCTGCTGAATCAAGCATTCACTACAATGATACCTTTTAACTCAGAACATGTGCTCACATATGGCCCTGAAAACAGGCAGACTATAACTGTGGTATAACTGCAACTTCTTTACAAAAAAAAGATACCAAGTTTCTAACCCTGAGGGAGACCTTCAGTAAAGCTCAGAAACAATTAGGTACGTAGCTGGGAATTTCAGCAAGTTTTTGTTTCCTCTCTTCATGAGTTCAAGAGCAGAAAATTACATCAAATATCAGCACAGAAGTAAGAATCAATAATAAAGAGCTAAATAAACAGCTGGGCTTACATCTGAAAAGCTGTCCCAGCAAGGGGAAGCTAAGCAGGGCTGAGCCTGGTTAATATTTGGATGGGACCACAAGGCAAATATCAGGGCTGTTGAGACTGGGAACTCAAAAAACATCCTGGATGAAAACAATGGCAAACCCCTCCTGTAGAGTTGCCAAGAAAACCATATGGTGGTGTCCACATCGTCACTAAGTTCAACTCAAGTGAAGTCTTTACCTTCACAAACCTTATCCTGTGGTTTCTGGGCTTTAGTTGGCTCAAGGTTTTCATGCTGCCTCAAGGAGAACTAGTTCCTTGTTTTTTAGATCAGACAGCCTGTTCTACAGCACACAGAAGATTGCTTTCTTGCAGTTAATGCTTCCCTGATTTGGCCACAGCCAGGAGTGATGCAAGTGACGGCAGAGGATGAGATGGTTAGATAGCGTCACTGAAGCAATGAGCATGAAACTGAGCAAACTCAGGAAGGCAGTGAA